TTTATTTGATCTTTCTGTCTTCCAATTGTAGGCTCACATGGTCCCAACTGTTTGATGGTACATATCTGTAACCTGTATCTGTAGAATTTGTCTTTGAACTTGGTTAGAATCTGATTTTTCCTGCATATCTAAACACAAAGCCTCACTCATTTGTCCACATTGGATGGCAGTGTTTGTGTTTCACTTCTCTCTAGGCAAGTATTTGAACACCCGAAGAAGAATTCATGCTCTCTTTCATACATTTATTCAGTGATTCTGATGTTTGTGTGGTTGGAGAATGTGTGTTTGAGGGAACCAAGTAGGAGTGGTTTTGTGGATAAAGATGCTGAAGGATATTTTCCATGAGAGGTCAATAAAAGAAGCATATACAGTACACTGCTGCTTTTTGTGTAAGTCTGTGTGTGTGTGTGTGTGTGTGTGTGTGTGTGTGTGTGTGTGTGGTACAGGCTTCCAAGAGGATAAATTTAGTGTAGAGTACACCAACCAGTGCATAGTATCTACCCATTACCAAGTGTTGTAACTCTGGGTGGCTTTTGTGTTCACATTGTCTATTTTGTATTTCCTAATTTTTCTAAACGTCATGTTTTACTTTTGTAATTAATAACAATTTAAAAGAAGATACATACTGTGTAAAACACAAGTAGCAAAATATTTTTTTAAAAGAAGATCACCTGCAAAAACTGTCAAAGTGAATTACTTCCTTGCAAAATCTAATGTTACGGTTTATGATTTAGTTTAGAGGACAGTCACTGCTGTTTACCCCAAACTCATCTCAGAGTATAATGTAATACCAAATATTTAAGTGAAATTTGACTGAAGAAAGTAGAATACCAAGAGACGTGAAGAGCTTAATAGTTCAAGACTGTGAAAGGCAATGTGAGTAGGGAATCAGTGAGACTTTGGTCTTAGGGAAATGGCCTGTTAGTTTCGGGGGCTGGGGGCTGTCTGCTGTCACATTGTTATCACTCGATTACATCATTTATAAGTTATTTTATTTACTTTGAAATGATATTTTATTTAGCTCTGTTGTATCCTAGGAAGTGTAGGGGCAGAACAATCAGTTCAGGTCCATCCTCAGCTACCCAGTGAGTTTTAGGCCAGGCTAGACTACAGGAGAGCTTGTGTCAAAACAACACCCTCTCTTCCTCATACACCCCTCAAAAACAAAGAGATATCTTATTTAAGATACTCTTGGTTTATTAGCCAACAACATTATAATAATGTTTGCATGAAGCTTTTCTAAAACACAGACTTTCTCTTTAAGTTACATCACAAGCCTTTATGAGCTGCGGAATACTGGACAACATTTAATGCTATAGGTAAGGGCCATTTTAAAGAGCAGAATTATGAATAAAAAGTACAAAAATGCAGAGAATGTGGCATTGGATAGGCTATGAAAGTGATACTTGTTTACAGTATGAAACTGAAACAAAAGGCTGCATTTTGCCTTGTTTGACCTTAACTAGGAACATGTGTATTGGACAATTTCAAGTTTTAGAAATTCTAAACATAGCTGTGAATGTCTATGAACGAGCTATGAGTATTGATTTTGGAGTTCAGCTAACTTTTAACAAGTGGTGAATTTGCAAGTACAGAGTTTCTTGCATAATGAAGATGGACTGTATTCTTTCCCTTGAGTTCCCTGTCTGTAAATGAGATGCCATCAAATTACTGACCCAGGTTAGAAATACTGTGTGAGCTCCTCCTGTTTTATCAACATTTCCACTGCCTACTTGTTCATGTGTCTTCTAGATGCATCTTAGGATATCTCTGCCCCCCACCCCCCACCCTGCTTGTAGGAGAGACAGGATCTTGCCATGTAGCCCAGCTTGTCCTTGAGCTCATGATTGTCCTGCCTGTCAGACTTCCCAGGGTTCAGACAGCAGGCATGTGCCTTTGTGCTGTGCTGTGACTCACCTCTTGGAATCTCATTTTTCTTTTCTTCATTCTAGTCTCTATACTTGGATATCCAAAAGTATATTTTGGTAGGGAGTTCTTACTGTCATTATAGCTATTGCCAAATAACTTTATTTGTAAATAAATAAATTCACCAATTGCTACATGTTTGTCTCTAGCTATCCCTGTACTTCATCATGGACAAGAACTTTAGATTCTTGGAGTGTGTGTTGGGCTATTTTCTTTGAGTCTCAGTGTTACCTCTAGGAATAATTTTTTACTCTTTACCTGGCTCTTACTTTTCTCACTAGGTTTTCAATTAATACAATGGTTAGGTACTCCCTCAGGTGTTTTCTAGCAGTAAACTAGCCTCCCTCCCTTCCCCTCCCTCAAACCTGTAGACTGTTAGCGGTTCTGAGTTCAGAGTTGAAATGAAGCCGTCATGGTTCACCTAGTGGTCTGTTTCTGAGGGAGGAGGTACTTTACCAGTTACCGAGACTAGACTGGTCAAATGCCTACTTCTTGAATTCTGCCTTTTGTCACCAAGTTGACAAAATTAGCAGAAGGAATAAAATTATTAAAGGTGAGTTAATTAATAGCCACTAGGGGAAATCTAACTTATTTTTGTAAACTGGGAAGCCAGACTTATAAGTTTAGTTGACCCCTTTTCTGTTAAAGAAATTTAGAAAGGAAATGGATATGGTTTTTATGCAGAAGTTCATTATATATATTCTCTATCATTTACAACAAAGAAATCAAATTAGTGCCTGATGGTCTAATTAGAATGGAGGTTTTCCTTAAATTTACAGTTAAGTGTATCTTGGCTCTTATGCATGTTGAATATGTAATGTCACACTACTGTAATAAAGGTCTTTCAAGGCTGTTAACCTTAAAATGAAAAGCCCTTCAGTGGGTACAGCATGTAATTGACATTTAACAGCACCACTGTCCTATGAGTTGGTGACAAGTAGGGAATAACTTTAGCAAGTCAAATGGCAGTCTCCACTTGTTACTTAATAACTTGAATAATTTCTTTCTTCATTCACTAGTGGGTGGAAAAAGTGCTGAAATTGCCATGCTAATATTTAATTCATTTTATAGATAAGAAATACTTGTAGAGAGCGATAATCACTTTAGCAGTTGAAGATTTTTTTTTAAAGGACACAGTGTTTAACAGGCATGCCCCAAGGGCAAATTTCACCTTGCTGTTATCTATCTAGCCTGTGAACTGAAACTGAGTTTAACATTTTTAACATAAAAAAGTAGTATTTCATTGACAGGCTAAGTTTATATTATTATTTCAGTTTATCCAAGGAAGGTTTTGGGTATGTGCCACATTCCTTTGGCATTGCAGTGGAATGGGATTTTCAGCTCCAGATCAGCCTGAAGGAACAATTGTCCTCCTTTTTACAGAAGGTGTTTGCCCACCCCAAGCTATGTTGTGTTTGTGTAGTTGTGACTTCTGTTAATTTTCCCAGTTCAGGTTGAGTATAGATGATAATGTAACAAAGAAATCCTATCGAAGAAACTTCTTCAGCTTTTTAGGAACTGGAAGAAATTGCCTTAGACAATTGCCCAAATAGAGACCTGGAGAGGTGGACAGTGCTTTCTCTTTACTGTCTAGTTCATGTTGTTTATTTTTTAAAAGTAAGCACCTAATAAATGCTTATTGATTAGACACTGTTTTAAGAGTGTTATAGCTTGTAAGTTCATGTAGTAGCTGCACAAGATTGATATATCTACAAAAAAGAAAGACACTGTACAAGCACAAGTGACAGTTGAGTGATAGACTTCATACACAGCAGGGAGACAGAGCAGTCACTTTGGTAGGAAGGGGGAAGCCACTGTTTGAATGTAGCCACCTGGGTCTAAACCCAGTGCTCTTGATCTCTCTGGGATTTTTGTGCTTGTTTTACTTATTAAGAAAAGTCTTGGGTTAAGAAGAACATTTTGTCACAATGGGACATGATATTACAAAACAGTCTCAATTTGTATTACTTTCCTAGAGCTGCTGTAACCAAATACCACAAACTATATGGCTTATAGCAACAGAAATTTGTCCTATCCTGATTTTGGAAGCTTGAATTATAAATTTAAAACATCTCAGAGACCACACTTACTTTAGGACTACACAAAGAATTTTGTTTATTTCTTGCTGGCACCTGTGGATCCCAGCAGTTCTTGGTGCTCTGTGCTTGCATCTTCATTGACCCACCTGTGCCTCTGTCAGCACATGCCTGTCTGTATCTTTCTGAATCTTCTCTTTTGGGATACCAGCCATAGTAAACTAAAGCTCATCCTCCAGCAAGCATGATCACACGACTGGACTGATCATATCAGAATTTTTGCTAGTTGCATCTAAAGCTTTTTCCAGAGATTCTGGGGAAGCTGTGGGTTTGGGGAGACACTGTTCAAGCCAGAACATAATTTGTGAATGTAGAGCTCATGAGCCAGATACTGTTCTGAGCACCATTCGTACTCAGAATGCCTACCTAGTGTGTCTCCCAGGAGAGCTGTGAATGAGGCCAAACACATTTGTAGTGTCACAGTATCGAAAGGTTGGAAACTTCTGCATGGCAGAAAACTGGAAATTGAGTGTGAGAATATTGAGGGATTGTTTCTTTTGCTTTTGTTCTGTCCCTTAATTTTCTATCTGAGAAAAGGATTTGCCAACTTCATCTCTTGCCTTTCCCACTTTCTGTTGACCCTCTGATCATGAATGATTTGAAAGTTGGCTTTCATCAGGGCATTTTTTCCTTCTGGAATGTTCTATTTGTTTTTGAAGAGACATTTTCTTGCTTACTATAACATTTTAAGGTTGTTTGTTTTGTCTTCATTTTTGATTCAGAAACCAGCCTTGGTGTGCTGAATCTTGAGTTCTGACCATGTAGTAAAGGTCACTTCTGTCTACCCTTTAGAGTTTTGTGATTAGGTTCAATAAATGGTCATAGTTATTTTATTTTCTCTGATTATCATCATTACTACTATAGTAGGCTTTGACATATATGGAGTTCTTCAAATTCCACACCTGGAGTCTACCCCAATCTTTTTCATTTCAAGAATAATTGGTTCAATTACATTATTTCCTCTTGCTTATTTCACAGGGTGCCCGTGAAACATTTGAGAATTACTACCGAAAACAGAGGCGAAAACAGGCTCGTTTGGTACTTCAGCCTCCATCTAATATGGTTGGTTCGATACCTGCACTTTCTCTACTTTTCCTTTTTCTTCCTGGTAGCTGAGTGAATGTATGTGTGAATGGGTGCATGTCTGTCTGTCTGTGTCTGTGTATGTATATGCATGTATACCTGCCTGTATGTGCTTGCTGTCATTCTGACACAACTTTGGGTGGATGTGCCTTGAAGTAAGAATTTCTTAACTGTTGTGTGCCATCCATTCTTCTAAATACTAGGTATGTATCAGGTCAGTTCATTCCCATTGTTAACATGTGGGGTCAGTGGCAACATCATTATGTTTACCTCATAGTCTGTAGGATTAACCTTCCTGAGAATAAATAACTGATTTTCATATCTTAAAGTAATAACATGGAAACAGTAATTTTGCTTTGCTTTGTTGCAGCATGAAACTTTAGATGGCTACAGGAAGTATTTCAATCAAATTGTAGGGTAGGTACATATTTAAGATTCTACTCTTGATTTGTAAGACTTATAAAAGATATACCTTTCCTTGGAAAACTTTCTCTCTCCCTTTTGCTAAATTTGAAAGAAAATATTTAGTTTTTATTTTCTTATAACTTAGCAAGAACATCTTCCTGGGCATGGTAGCTCATACCTGTAAGCCAGTGCTTGGGGAGGGTAACATAGGAAGAGCATCCTGTGGTGCACAGAGAAATGGTATCTCAAATAAATAAACAAAGGATGAAAGGGACATCTTACTAGTTTCAGCATTATATTCTTGGAGGATACTTTTGTACTGAAGTGTTGAATGGACTTGTAATAGTTTTATACTTGCTGTTTTGTTTCTCTATTCTTTGTTCCATCAGAGAGGGATATAATTAACCACACTGATAGAATTTTTACAGATAGTAAAGTATTTTAGGCCTATCATAATATAGGAACTTTGTTAAAACTATTTGGCTTTGTGACAGTGTACAGGCAGGTGTATCATTCAGAAATCTGTGAGTAAAACTATGTTCTACTAAACAACCTTCATTAACCATGTTACTGCCAGGTTGAGTCCACAGCATGCCATGGCTGTTCTCATTTAGAGTGGCCATAGAAGTGTGGAGTTAGGTCACTTACTAAAGACCTTCATATGCTCGCAGCTTGGCCCACCTATAAGATGGCAACCGTGGTTAAAAAAAAAAAAAAACAAGCGATAGAATTTGCTTGTTCAATACACCTTGCCTGCCCACCTTCTCCTTTTCTTCTTCCCTTACTTCCTCTCTAGATTCTTCTCTCTTTTCTTCCCTTGCTTCCTTTGATCAGATTTATATTCCTTTAGTATAAAAGATAACTTCCATTGTGCATATCATTGAGTGTTGAAGGATGGAGCTACTGCTAGAGTGCTTGCCTAGCATGCATGGGTTTGATCCTCAGCACTCCATAAAACCAGGTATGGTAATACACATAGAATCCCAGCACTGGGAACATGGGGACTGGAGGAGCAAAAGGTTAAGGTTACCTTAGGCTACATAGGCAGTTTATGGCCATCCTGAGGTACATGAGACATGAGACCTTGGTGTGTTTTATTTATTTATTTATTTATTTATTTATTTATTTATTTAATAATTTAAAAATTCCATAATAAAGGTTTCTTTTGATTTGAGTGAGCATTCAAATAGCATAACTGAAGATATGTTTTAAATGCATAACACACTATAGGAATCCCAATCACACTTTGTAATTTGAGGCAGGTCTCAAGGTTTCTGTTTAAGACATTCTATAGCTTACGCAGGGCTTGATTCAGTAGCTTAGGCAGGGCTTGATTCTACCTCCTGAGTTACTGGGGTTGTAGGCCTGATAAGGCGAATTATTTTGACATGTTGAATTCTTAAAAATCTATAAATCTCAGTGTTTATTATCTGCATCAAATTTGTTAGTTTCTTGAAATGTGTTGTATTTTAAAAATACATTGGAAATAGACTCTTAGTTTTATACAGTTTCTTTTAAATTGTTGGGTTATGTGGTTGACAATGAGTAGAAATGGAACTTCAGTCTCAGTGATGTGCTTAAGAAGATATTAATATGATTGTAGGCATATTCTCAATCTCAAAAGTAATTTCATTTATGATAATGAATAGCTTTCCTCACAAAAAAAAGGTAATATTTCTTTTGAGTTAGATGACAGCTATTAATGCCAAAGCTTCGTGGTCACAATAGCAACTGTGATCTCTAACATCTCTCTTTTCTTTTCAATCTCAGCTTTTTTGTGGTTGAAGATCACATCTTGCATACAACCCAGGGCTTAGTGAATAGAGCCTACATTGATGAACTGTGGGAAATGGCACTTTCAAAGACCATCGCAGCACTGCGCACACACTCGGTATGTGGGACACCCCAAGTGCTTACTTACAGCTGACTATCTGCATACTGTCTGGTGTTGCATTGAATTCAAGTCGACATACATGTTTTTGGAAATTCCCATTTGGAGATTGTGGAAGAGGTTCATTTAGGTTTCTCCGTAACACTGAGCTTGCCTTGTTGATTGCATCTGCAATAAGAAACACTCACTCACATCTGTCCATGATTCTCACTGTGTCCAGCAGTGTTCTGTGTATTTCATATATAGTCTAACTTTACAAAGTCATGTATTGGCCGGGCGGTGGTGGCGCACGCCTTTAATCCCAGCACTTGGGAGGCAGAGGCAGGCGGATTTCTGAGTTCAAGAGTTCGAGGCTAGCCTGGTCTACAGAGTGAGTTCCAGGACAGCCAGGGCCACACAGAGAAACCCTGTCTCAAAAAAAACAAAAAACAAAAAAAACAAAAAAACAAAAACAAAGTCATGTATTATCACTGATATATTTTTATGTGTTTCATATTTATTCACTCAGAAAATACCTCATGTGCTGTACATTTACACATAGAGCTAAAGGATTGCTGTGATGAATGTTATGCTCTTTGCTTCCAGTTCTACAACCAGCCCTTCCTCTCTGCTTACCTACACTGAGATGTCTAAACTTTTGCTGGCTAACTGCCTGCTAAGCTTAGCTCATAAGAAGCATTAGAGGCAAGATGGTAGATACATTTGCTAAAATTTTAAGATCTCAAATGTCATGTTGTTGGCTGCTGTCATTTCTTGTCTGAGATAATCCTTCATTGTTCTGTCCCTTATTCCAGGAACACTACTTCATTGATATTTGCATAACATAAGACTTCTTTATTCTATAAGTTTAATTTAGTGCCAATAACATGTCTCAGGAGTTTGTTACTGGCAGGGCAGTTATCTTAAAATTGAATGTACAATATTTTGAAAAACTGCAAGTAAGAGTATGGAAGCTTTAAAGAGAAAGTCTATCAACCGAAACCTACAAGTGAAAAACAAAGAGAGAGATAAATGATTGTCATTGAAGTCTCCTGTTTTTCCTGAGTGGCAGTGAGGAGGTTCTGGTGAGCATGTCCAGGAAGTTCTTGCAAGCAGCTAGTACTCCCAGGGAATCATCCCAGGGAATGGTACGATTGCAGTTACTGCCATTACCTGATTTGCATATGATCTATTCATAACATGGAAGAATATAAAACAAGAAAATAATGGAAAGACACCTAAAGAAAGCTAAATTCAAGATAAAAGTGGTTCCTTGGAAATTTATGAGCACCAGATAGAGAAATTTAATCCAAACATGAAGACTGCATGCTATTTCATGATTGAGAAGATAAAGTCTAAGTCAGAAGTTTATCTTACAGTCTTAAAGAGATAAAAATATGAGAGGAATAGTTAAGAATCATGGATAATAATGGAGACTTTGGAATATAACTGATTGAGATTGAGAAAATGCAGTGTCCATCAAGGGGCCTATAGTAATAGAGTAGGAAAGTGGAAAGGAGTCACCTAGTGATAGCAAGGGAACTGACAGCAAATCCTGACAGACAGATAGATATACGGATTCTTCATCATGTCTGTCTCATTAATTAGTCCTGTGAAAGGTGAGATACATTCGGAAAGTATTTAATGGACACGAGATTATCTCAAGTAACTGACTTTAGTATCCACTGCAAAGGAATACAATGACCATGTCTGTTTGTAGGCGAGATCATATATGGTGCTTATTTGAAATTTTTGTTTCTTGTTTATTTATGCTTATTTTATATTCCTTATATTGTTTAATGATACTTTTCTTTATTGTAAAATCAGATTTACCTAAGATGCCCATTTCACTGATTCCATGTTTATCTATTTTAAATGATCAAATTGTCATGAATCGTCATGTCTTTTTCCATCACCAGTTTGTCACTTTTAACTCTCATTTCATTTATTACATGAATATGGTTATTTGGTGTCATTTCTCATAGTGTCATTAGTACAGTGTTTGGTCAGATTATTTTCAGTCTTTTGTATTTCCTGATATCTGCACATAAAGAAATATATACAGTTATTTTGAAAATGGCTCTAGGTACATATTATAAATTTTGGTACAAAGTATTTTATTATTCCTCATTTTAAAATAATCTATCCATTTCGTTTTTTAATTTTTTTATATTTTAGTTTATTTGTTATTCTTGTGTCTACCTATGATGAGGGTATGCATGTGTGTATGTGGGGAGGTCAGAGGACAACTTTGCAATCAGTTCTTGTGTGTTCAGGGGGTTAAACTCAAGTCTTCTTGTTTGTGCTGTTGGGCAACACACACCTTTGATTGCTGAGCTATCTTGTTGGCCCCATTTTTGTTTTCTTCTTTAACCAAAGAATTTCACAATGTGTTTCCACATGTTAAGGATATGTAGATTGTCCTACTGAGCCTCGTCTCCTTAGTTCTTCTCTGATTGAGCCTTTGCTACCTTGTGCTAGGAAATGGTTAGACTCATTTTTAGAAATACCTTTGCTAGCTGGAGCATGAGGCAATTTAATAAGTAAAATATGTGATTTTATTCATTCAATTTTTCTCCTTTCCCCCATTTCCTTTAGTCGTACTGTTCTGATCCAAACCTCGTGTTAGATTTGAAGAACCTCATTGTACTCTTTGCTGACACACTTCAGGTACGTGCATTGTTAACACCTGCCTATCTGAGTAGGTTCCATCAGCTTTGAATCAGTGTGTTCTCTCCCAAGCCTACTGGCTTATCCATTGAGTTTTTACCATTTATTCTTTTTTCTATAGCTAGATCTGTTTACTTCTTTATAGCACATTCCATACTTTATCTTGACTCTTAATATTTTCATATGTTAGAGGTCCTATTGTTTTTTCTTTCAGAGAACAATGTCTTGAACCATTTGTAGAATTAGACTTTTAAGTGATTGTAATTCTGCTCAGGCACCCATGTGCCTTGTAGTGTGTTCCACTGCCATCCTTATCCTGGTGGTTGGTTTAGACCATGTTAGAGAAGCATGAGGTATTGGTGATGTGGTAGCAGCTATACTTTCTCTTTGTTCTTGGAGATTTGCTGTGGGCGGTAAGTTACCATGGGGAGAACTCACCTGACATTATTATGTTGCTTTTCATTTTTATCATTTTCTTTTGTGACCTACCTAGAAATTTTGATGTGTGTCTTTGAATTTTTGAGAATAAACACTTGATATTAGTTAGAAATGAGCAATTCTGCTTCATTTTTTCATTGTTGTTTAAATAATGAAATATCTTTTAGCATCTAATCTTATATCTATTTATTTGAAAACTCTTTTTTGAAACCAAATTTATTTTTTTTTCAGGTGTATGGTTTTCCTGTGAATCAGCTTTTTGATATGTTGTTAGAGATCAGAGACCAGTATAGCGAGACTCTATTGAAGAAGTGGGCTGGGGTGTTCAGGTAAGGAGCTGCAGTTATGTCCGTGTTCCCCTGCCCTAATGCATATGCTCCTTTGTGGATTTTGCAGATACAATGAGCACCGAGAACACATAGCTTATATTTCTTTTAAATGCTCCAATTTATAATTCAGAATTCTCATGAATGAAAATGATTTCCAAAATGATCTTCCAAATTTTCCTACATCAACCTATGGGGAGTGGGTGGATGGGTTGGGGAACACCCTCATAGAAGTGGGATGGGGGACAGGAAAGGGAGTTCCTGGGGAGGTGGATGGGGAAAGGGGATGACATCTGAAATGTAAATAAGTAGAATAGCCAATTAAAAAATACATTAAAAAAATAAAGGAAAGCCCCACAGCCTGTTTGGTATGTTTGTTTCCTTGGATAAATGGCAGATTTATTGATACACACCATCCAGATTATCTTGTGTCTTTTTATTTTATTATAGTTTTTGGTTTTCCTTGAATATCATACTTTAGTAGTGGTAATTAAGCCACCATGAATAGTAGAACCGTAGGATGTTTTATTTTATTGAAAATGCCTCTTGTGTCCCAGACTGACCTTGAACTTCTGATCTTCCTTCCTCTATCTTTTAAGTGCTGGAATTATCAGTATGTCCTGCTGGGCCTGGCTTACTTTTTTAAACCATTCTATTTTTGATAACTCATGTTATAGTTCATCATTATTCATAAGCAGAGAAATGGCTTATTGCAGTCCGTATTTGAAGTGTGTTATTTCAATAGTTATTGCAACATGCATACAATAATGGCAAATTATTCTGGAACATCTCCTCCCAGAACAGATCTCTTGGGACTGATGTCTTTGTATACATTGCTTGTCATCTTAGTTTTAAACTTGTCCTCTACAGTAAGTGAGATAAATTTGTCTTCTTGCTTTAATCTTAGGTCAATTTAGTGCTTAACATCTTAGCTACAACAGTACAGCAACACAAAGAAAAAAAGAGAATACAAATGTGAACAGAGTTATACTATTGTCCCTCTTTGTAGTTGATATGAGTCTATACTTATGAGACCTCTGGGCTCCACCAGGAAACTCATAGAACTATTAACTCTCAGCAAAGATGCAGGACATATGTAAACTTATAGAAGCCAGCTGCTTTTCTATATTCTAAGACAAGGTTGCTGAGAAAAACTCAGAGAAACAGTCCCATATACTTTTCACTGTATCCTCAAATAAGGGCAATAAATACAAAAAAAAAAAAGAAACCTAGGAATAAACCTAGCCAAGGAGGACAAAGACTTCCAAAATGGAAAGAAGGGCACTGAAGAAGCTGAAGAAGACCGTATAGAGGATAGAGAACCTCCCATGCATTGGGTCAGTGTGGCTAATATTGCGAAAATGACTCAATTGCCCAAAGTAACAGAGGTTCAATGTAACCTACTTTGCAATCCCAGTCTGTACTTAACTTTAAGAGTTCTTGCCCGTTGCTTGCGTCTCCTTGTCAGCTAATCTTTTTTTCTTTTTTTTCTTTTTACATTGTTTTACTTTTAAACCTTCACCTTTTGATCTTACTTTTCACAATCCACAAGCATGCCACTATTTAGTTCAACTCACAATTTATTAATATAAATACATAGACTTCTAGAATCCAGATGTATTTGATGCGGATAATTGCTTTTATAGGTGGGTTGTCTCTACAGAAAGTAGAGGTAGCATGGACTAGCCACAGCATTCTGTGCTTTCTGTGAGTTTCTGTTTGGATTTTTATAGGAGTTTTGTTTTTGGAGAACTCTTAATGTACTCAAAGAGAAAATTTATTCCTGGAAAACATTTGTGATTGATACAAAGCAGAAGACAGAGGAGAAAGAACAAAGCTTGGATTATTGTTAGAAGTTATTTTTCATCTGTGATAGTTTCTAAGTTAGGATACACTATCTAGCATGCAGTTAAAGTTGTGATTATGATCCAATATATCTTAATAAAATGACCAGCTCCAATATTCTTTTCTCACTTTCTTCCCACTTCCCTTTAATTTTTCTGCCTGTTTGTAAATCACAGACACTAACAGGTCATGTTCATAGTTTCTCCACTTTTTTTCAGAGCTTAGTTTCTCTCTGATTTCTTTTAAGAATGCCCAAACCAAATGGCTGAATTGTAGCAGGGGTGTAGTAAGGGCTGGGCGGTGCTCATGGGAGGTGGTGGTGAACATAAACATAATCATCAGACTGTCTCATTAAGCATCTCTGTGTTTGATCACCCGCCATTCTCCCTCCTTTCTCTTCATTTTTATAGAAACATACTTGATTCTGACAACTACAGTCCCATACCAGTAACAAGTGAAGAGACATATAAAAAAGTCGTAGGACAATTCCCATTTCAAGATATAGAACTGGAAAAGGTAAGGGATACTTCAAAAATAAAGTTCTCTTTCTCTCTTTCATTCGATTAATTTCTCTGAAACTGAGAAATTTCAGTTCAATAGATTTTAAAACACCTTCAGAGAATTCCTTCTGGGTCTTAGAGGTGCAGAATTGCTCACTGGGAATCTGTAAAAGATTTTGACATCCTAGCACATCTTTTGAGTTTGTCAGATCACTGGGTTAATACAATTTGATTAAAATTTTAAATTCCTAATTTTGTTGTACTGTTCAAATAGTTTCTTTTAAAACCAGACATTTAAATATGCTGTTTTGGTTATATAGTTTTATTTTTTTGTCTGTGCATTGAGTGGTTTCTCCCCACCACAGGTAGAATGCAGACTATTTTCCTCAAGCAGGCCCTTTCTACCCAAGTCCCGTGCTGCATCTGTCAAATGTGAAAGTCTAGGCTCAAGCTGTTGTCTTTTGCCATTTACAGAGTCACAGACACTTGGAATCATATAATTCCAGGGCACAGTCATCACTGAGGGTAGTCAGGTAGTCAGATTAGGAACCTAGAGGTAGGAACCGACATAGTGCAGCTTACTGGCTTACTCATTCCTGATTTGCTCAGCATGTTTTTACACTGTCCAGCACTACCTTTTCAGGGATGGCACCACTGACACTGAGCTAGTCTCTCCCACATCAGACATCAATCTAGAAAATTCCCTACATATTTGCCTGTAGGCCAATTTTATTGATGCATTTTCTCTCATGATGCCAAACCATAGTTGTTCTCATCGTGACCCTTTGTGCCTTAAACATGAGTCCCATCTGGAGGACTCTTAACACATTAGCAAGTTCGGATGCCAGCATGAGATGCTGCCTAGACTACCCCCTGGACTACAGCTTTTGTGTACTGACCCTGAGAAAATCCTCTGGGATTTCTGCCCTCAATCATGCTGGTCTCTTCTTAATCATCATCGATTTCTAGACCTTATCTAGCCAACATCAATTGTCCTAGTTAAATTTTACTTAAGTAGTTCTCATTTCTTTCTAATTACAGCCAATTCTTTAGTCCCAGCTGATGAGAATCACAAATTCTTAAAGCACAAGATATCAAATTGCTCTTTAGTGAACTCTCAAACTTTACTTTGAAACTTCACAAGCCAGGACTCCATCTTCTGCAATGTTTTCAATGTTTTAACTACTAAGTTCTGATGATAACCCATTAAGCCATTAAACACTCACTGACTTTTCTAGTTCAAAGTTTCAGAGTCCTTCAAGAGTTCTCCAAGTCTCACATGGTCAGGTCTGCCACAGTCGTACACCACTACCTGGTACTAGTTTTTGTCTCAGGGTTTCTCTTGCTATGATGAAACACCCTGACCAAATGCAATTTGGAGGAAAAAAGATTTATTCTTACAACTCTCAGGTCACAGTGCATCTTCTAGAGAAGTCAGGGAAGGAACTCAAGGCGAGAATATAGAGAATGGTACTGAACCAGAAGCCATGGAGAACTGCTTCTTACTGGCTTGCTTGCTTATAGCTTGCTTAGCCTGCTTTTTTATACCATCCAAAACTACCTTCCCACAGTAAGCTGGGCCTGTCAACAAGAATCATGAACCAAGAAATGCCTTAGGGCTGGAAAACTGGCTCGGCACTGGCTACTGTTGCACAGGACCTAGGTTCAATTCCAAGTCCACATGTGGCAGCTCACAACCACTTGTAACTCCAGTTCCAGGTGTCTAGCTTCCTCAGACACTGAACATGGTATATATGCATAAATGCAGGCAAAAGCATTTGCATAAACTAAAATACTAAATAAATAAAAATAATTTGAAAGGAAAATGCCCAGCTGGGTGGTGGTGGCACACGCCTCAATCCCAGCACTCTGGAGGCTCAGAACTCCTGAGAGTTGTAAGAGGAAGGTGGAGCTCTGAGTTTGAGGCTTTCCTGGTCTGCAGAGCTAGTTCCAGGACATCCAAGACTACACAGAGTAACACTGTTTCAAAAAACCAAAAGAAGAAAATATTGAGGGGGAAAAAGAACTCTACAGACTTCATATAGCCCAATCCTATGGAGGTGTTTTCTTGATTAAGATTCTTCCTTCTCATATAACCGTAACTTGTGTTGAGCTGACATAAAAACTAGTTAGCCCACTTGTCTTACTCTTTTTAGTATCAGAAATCTCTTGGAGACAATTTTTTACAGTTGATACCATTAAGTCAATACTTTACAGAGTAGGACAAAAGGTTTTTCTTTTTTCATTTTAAATAATTTTAGATGTATACAATGCATTTAGTGACTTGCTTTCATTAATTTCTTGCATTTACAGCAGCCATTTCCTAAAAAGTTTCCTTTCTCTGAATTTGTGCCAAAAGTTTACAACCAGATTAAAGAATTTATCTACGCCTGCCTGAAGTTTTCAGAAGATCTTCATCTAAGGTATAACATGAGACAGTCCAGTGCTGAGATTGTTACTCTCTAAATAAATACTTTGTAAAATGTTTACTATGAGTTTAAACCTTGGAGTAGGCTTTCACTGTTATGGTAAAAGGGAAAAGGTTTAGAATGACCTACCTAAGTATATATTACATTTTAAACAGTATCAGCAAAAAATTTCTGGAAATTGTAGTTTGCCCTACTCACTATACCATTCCAGTCTACTTGATAAAGATTTCCAGCGAGAATGGGGCAGTAACAGTCTTTGGAATTGGTATTGTTGCTCTGCTCTGTGTCTGCCTTAACCACAGGCTTCTTGTATGCTCATTTATTGGTTTAGTCTGCATATATTTTAGCAAATATATAGTTCGGTGCTCCTTAGTAGTAAAGACAGTAAGAAGCTAAAAGGAAGGCCTTTATCTTCCTGAGGACCCAGACAGCTTATGGTAAGTGCTGCAGAAGTTCAGGATATGCACAACAGCCACACTGCTTAGACTAACAGTGCCCAAAAAGGCTCAACACTGCGCTGAATCTGCACTTGATAGATTTTCAAAAAGAATCAATAAACAGAATGTATCAAGTGTCAAACCTTTCTGAAAATAAGTACAGTTCGGAGTGGGGTTGAGTCACTTCTTTATTAACCATTCTCCTACTTCAGGTTGAACATAGGTCTTCCAGTATACTAGGCAAGTGCTCTCTCACTGAGCTGGTCCCCAGACCTTGCTATTTTCAGAGGCAGAGACAAGATCTTACAGAGTTGTTCAGCATAGCTTTGAGTCTCGTCTGCAGTCTACAGAAAGAAGAAAGTTTCTTTCTTCTTGCATTGGCCTCCTGTGTAGTGTCAAACACTGCTAATTCTCGTTCTTGTTAAAGTTATGAAACTTGGGACTGTACAATTAATTTTCCCATCTAAAACCAAGATTAATTTTATAGAAAAGTACTCTTGAAATCAGATTACTTTTAAAGATGAACACCAAGCCATTTTTTTTCTTCATAGCTTCCACTCTGAAGGCTCACAACCTACCTACTACACACACACAATAGTGATTGGATAATCTCACGTCTGTAAGGTCTTATTATGTTTGTTACTGCCAGGAAATTATTTTAAGCCAATTGCACAATGGCTTCTACTCATTTATTATGATGGGGAGGTAATAGTGGGAAAATGTGGGTAATTATTTAGATAGTTTTCTTCTTTTTTTTTTTTTTTTTATTGGATGATTTATTTACATTTCCTATGTTGTCCCCTTACCCCATCCCCCACCACCCCCTCGGAACCCCCAATCCCCTCGCCCCTCCTCCTTCTTCTCTGTGGATGTAACCTCTATCTACACCCCCCCACTCCCACCTCCCCACCCTCAAAATTCCCACCCCCTGGGGCATCCAGCCTTCATGAGGTCAAGGTTCTCTTCTTCCACCTATGCCCAGCAGGGCCCTCCACTTTTACATATTCAGCTGAAGCCCTGGATCCACCCCTAAGTGCTCCCAGGCTGGTGGTTTAGACCCTGGGAGCTGTGGTTGGTTGGTATTGTTGCTCTCCTCATGGTGCCACAAACCCTTTCAGCTCCTTCAGTCTTCACTCTAACTCCTCCATTGAGAACCCCATGATCAGTTCAATGGCTAGTTGTGAGCATCTGCCTCTGAATATGTCTGACTCTTGAAGGCCTCTGAGGAGATATCCATATCAGGCTCTTATCAGCATGCACTTCCTGTCTTCCACATCAGCATCTATAGTTTTCTTCTTATTTGAATCCTAAGGTTTTGAATGAAACTTTTTTCTTACTTAATGTTAGAATGTTCTCTCTCTCTCTGTCTCAGTCTCTGTCTCTGTCTCTGTTTTTGTTTTGAGAGTTGATCTGTGTCTATTAAGTTTTTGATCCCAAACTTCCTTTGGTGGTGGGTTTTATATTGACAGTTTAAATAAAATATTTCCTCAACTTGAGGGAATTTTTCACTTCCCTTTTATTACTGGGTTGATATTGCCTTCCTCCTCAGAATCTATTTATCTTGTAACTTGGAGTCGGAGATCACTTCTTCTGTTAGAACTGTCTCAGAATAGACTTAGCAGACTTAGGTTGTCAAGTGGGTAATGTATATAACAATAGTTCTCTCAAACAAAGTGTCACATAGTCAGAGAAATGTTAGTTGGAGATTTCTTATGAAGTTTTAAAAATAATTATTTTTTCTGAATGAATAGTTTGTCTCTCATATAATGTTAAAAGACATTTAGCTATTTTGAAAGTTTTTATCAATAGCAGGGTCTCCTATAATAAAATGATACTCTGACATTTAATTAAAAGTTCATTGAACATACAGATTTTATTTTTCTGCACTTTTTGAAAAGTCAATTTTTGTAAAAAATTTTTTGGGTTGTTTTTTGCTTTCTAAACTTAAAAAAAAGAAAGAAAGAAAAGAGTTTGGAGGCTGTGTTGTCTGGGAAACTTCAATTGCTGAATATCTGTTAGACAACATAGAAAAGAGAGAAAAAGTATCTTAAGAGAACATTAAAGTTACTTAGAAATAACACTTTACCTCAGTCTACATGGCTATTATCCAGAAATCCAACAATAAATGTTAGAGAAGATTGCTGGTGGGGTGTAAATTTATATAGCCATTATGAACGTCAGTTTGAGGTTGCCTCAAAAAATTAAAAATAGACCCACCATGTGATTCAAGTATTCTACTCCTTATTTATATCAGAAAACTTATCTCTGTAATAAGATTACCACAGATATTTATACATCCATGTTCTGTGCTGCTCTGTTCACTATTGCAAGACAATGGAACCAGACTACATGCCAGTCAACACACAAATTGTTAATAAAAACCTACTACAATCCCAGCGTTTGGGAGGCAGAGGCAGGTGGATTTATGAGTTCGAGGCCAGCCTGGTCTACAGAGTGGATTCCAGGATAGCCAGAGCTACACAGAGAAACCCTGTCTCAACCAAAAAAACCAAACCAAACCAAACCAAACCAAAACAAACCAAACCAAACCAAACCAAAACAAACCAAACCAAAACAAAAAAAACCTCCAAAGAACAAAAACCTACTGCATATAAAATAGAATACTATTAAGCTCTAAAGAAAAATAAAATCTCTAAATTGCAGAAAAATGGATCTATTTAGAATACTTAATTTTAAGCAGGGTCACTGAGTATCAGAAAGAAAAAAACTCTTTATGTTCTCTCTTATATGCAGATTATAACCAATAACATTACATTCATATTTGCAAACAAATACATATTTAGTATAACATGTAGAAGGGAGACGAAGTAGCTTTAGATGATGATGACAATGAAAAAAATGTAGCTAAAGAGGATGTAAACTAATTTCCCTTTTAGTTTTAACTCTGTTATAGGTGTGTGTGTGTGTGTGTGTGTGTGTGTGTGTTTGGATAAGCCCATAAAAATATAATTGATACTCAAAGTATAAAATCTAATGTGACATTCCACAGTTTGAGAATGGCTTCTTTTCTGAGACAATATAAGTTTGCCTGCACTTCTTAAAGTATTTAAATATGAACAAATTATCTAGGCAGAGTTCTATAGATAGATTTTTTTTTAATGAAAGCAGCATAAACTCGTAACAGAACAGTCTTAAGGTGCTGAAGTCCTTTAAATACTTGCTAGCATGCAGTACACATTAGGCAGTACTGCTTCCTTCATCACTGCCTCTGCTGCTGCTAATCCTGCTACAGCTGTTACTACTGCAAGACTGCTGCCTGCTTATTTACCAACTCTAGTTACCCGGGCTGTAACTGGGTTCATCATTTACCTTTCAGCTCCACTGAAGTTGATGACATGATCCGTAAGTCTACAAACCTGTTGCTGACGAGGACTCTGAGCAACTCTCTGCAGAACGTCATTAAGAGGAAGAACATTGGCCTTACTGAGGTAAAGTAACTCTTAGTGATGGTGGCCATGCCAGATGTCCTGTGCATGCACTTTGCCTACCTCTATTATTGATGCCAGGAGTCTTAGCACCTATGACTCTTGTCCCAAGTTAGACTTCCTTGCCTTTTATTGGTTTCATTGTCTTCTGAATATGATTGGTAAGTTGCTCTATCACTGTGTTACTTGTTTAGCAAAAGCCTAGTGATTCATGTTTGAGGCTGGAGAGAGAGGAAGGTTATGGCTTACTGCCTCTCCTATTAGAGGGAGAGATCTCCTTCCACTCAGTTGTGGCATAGTATAAACTGAAGGTTTGACTTACTGATGATACACATTTCTAAAATTCGGGAAGTTATGAGATTCCCTTTTCTTTGGAATTAAGGATTTTATGGTCACATCTCACCTTGCATTCACTGAAGGTATTGTGCCCAAAATGAGTTTAGGTTAGGGAAAATTTTTCTTCAGGAGGAAGACTGAAATTAGTTCCTCTAGGAATAAAGAACATTTCTCACTGCATAAAGCCAAAGATGATGGTGAAATTCAGCAAATGCTTAATGATACCAACCCATACCAAAGACAACTGTAAGCCACATGAACATTGGCATGGAGCGTTTCTTTCTCTGCATTGAGATAAAGAATATCATGAAGTATGGCATTGGCTATGATGGAATTATGCTTGTCCATGTAGCTTTAGGTTTCTTTCCTTATTCTTCTGTGTCTGATTTCTATTGCTTGGAATAGAATTCTCATGGATTGACTTTCTTCATCTGAAAATGGCCTAACTTTTTTCCTTAACCAGGTAGCTTGCAAACAAGGAAAGGTGCAAGTAGGGGTCGTAAACTCTTCCACTGTCATTAGATTGTATCGTTTTCTTTCTGAATTTCAATTGGAAGAGAAAATTTATACTTTGTTAACTCTTTGTCAGTTCTTTTCCCAGAATAAATTGATTTATTGATAAATTATAAAATGTCTACAGACGTAGACATTTTATAGTTCTGGTTAGAACTGGCTTGGTGTTATAGAGCACTCAAGTGACAGGAACATATTGAAATATACAACCCAGCATCCTCCTTCAGTATGCCAGTCATTCAGAGTTTAAAACTCCATATAAGCTATACCCATCAGTCTGCCTTATCTTGCTTTGGGGCCACATGATACTGCTCATCTCTCTTTCTTTATGCTCTGTCCCTGTCCTTTTTTCTCTCTGGCCTTCTTGCTGCTTTCATGGCTTCTTTGCTTTCACTTGTTGCATACTACCTTTTAGTTGTAGCTCCTGCTAGCCCTTGCTGTCTCAAAGCATGGCTAATACCTTAATTGACTCAGCAGTTGCCTGAGCTGCTCCTTCCAGATCTGTAGAAAAAGCAACTGATGACTGCTTGAGTGCCTTTACCCAGACTTCCTGGCTTCTAGTGCTGCTCCTCTGCTCAATAATGTGTTCTTAGGAAATGACTGAGCTTTATGTTTAAATGGGGACAATGGCATCACATATTTCATTAGATTATTACAGGAATCAGTGAGCATAGTGTTTGGGCCATAGAGAATACCAGTACATATTGTTTGTTGTTACTAATCAATCAGGGCATGCAAACAGTGCTTGTCAGGTCTAGTAGGTTGTCTGTTTGTTTTAATTAGGAGAAACCAAAAGATTTGAACAAGATGTCCTACTATGACATATCAAATGTGTTGATATCAAGATTTATTCACAGTTATTGAGCACATACTGTACTGGGTGCTTTACTATTTATTATTTGGAATGTACTATATTTTGTATCCATATTGATTTTAATATCTCTGTTTTTAGCTAAAAGATAGTGAACATGTATAATTTTAAGCTTCACATCAGTAATTAGTTCAGCATAAATTTTGGGATAAAATTTGAAAAGGGATTTCTTCTAAATGAAAACTGAGATAAAGTTTGTTCTTTCCTCTTTTTGTTACTGGAACAATTAGAATCAAAGGTTGGTCCTGGCAGCCTTAACAAAGGAGGCTACTACCCATCCTCATTAGGTCAGTCAAAGGGGCAGAGAAAGGAGAATGATTCAGTATAGCCACATTGGGAAAAGGAGCAAATAGATCCAGTGGTTTCCTCATTCATCTTCAGGGCTCTGGTATGAAGTATATGCATAGCTAAGCAGTGCCAGTTGAGGTGTGGTCCTACTCATCACTGAACCAATATTTTCTGAGCTCCAGGCTCTCCTCCAGGAAGTCTAAAGTTGTTAGATTTCATGAAATTTCTTTCTAAGAGACAATTTACTCCTATGTGTGGCACCAGTCCTTTTCTTCTCTAGCATGTTGTTACTGGGGAGAAATTCTGTAAGGTCGTAGACCCAGAGGTATGCTTATAGGTAGGTGAGAGCTAACATACAGACTTGGAGCTGTGGTTATAGCAACACCTAGCAGACCTGAAGCAACAGCTGCTGCTTTTTTTTTTTTTTTTTAGTTATTTAGAAATAAAACTAGATAGCTGTGTCCTGTTATGTCTCACACAGCATACATCTGCTACCCCAACAACATGCATAGTGATCACATTAGTTATGATAAAATACTTTATATTCAAGTCAAAAATTTGAATGACACCTTGGAAATTGGAACTAGTAGTCCATTTATTCTGGTATTTTAGTTTGTTGATCTTGGAAATGCATAAACTAAATAATGGATAAAGCTTTTTGAGCTTGCTGGGATGAGAGAGATAAAATCCCTTATAGTCTTAGGTTAATTCATTCGTATAAATGAGACTAGTGTTGCTGTTGATTTTTGGCTTTTATTGTATTACAGATCTTACACCTGAGAGCCATCAAACTATGTGACTTTTCACTTTATAGCTTTGGGTCAACCCAAGAAATTTCAGGGTGGTAAATTCTCTGCTTCTGGAAACAAGACAAAAGCAGATTTAAGAGAAATAGATGCATATAGATAATTTATAGTTGAGAACTAAAACCTGTTAGACTGTAGGGTTGATGCTATTTAAGATTTTGGCCATGTTTTATTTCTGAAGTTGTACAGAATAGAGCAACTGCAATAGTACCTGGGGTCCCTTGGGGATGTGTAGGAAGTACTGGGTCAGTGATCCCCACAGGACACTCTGTGTTCAGCTCTCTGACTGTGTGACTGTGGTCCCCACAGGGCACTCTCTCACACTTATTCTCATACCAGCAAGGATAAATGGAAAAACTTCTTGCTCCTAGTGGGATTTGATTTGTTTATTTATTTTCTTTGAGTAAAGTTTTGGGGGTAGTGGTGGTGGTTGTTTTTTTTTTTTTTTGGTTTCTTGTTTGTTTGTTTGTTTGTTTGTTTTTGGAGACAGGGCCTTGCTATGTAGACTAGGTTAGACCCAAATTCCTAAGTTTCATGCTTCAGCTCCTGATTGATTATTAGTAAAGTGACTTTTGTCGTTTTGTTTTAAGAGTTGCTGTTTATACCATAATTTTTTTTCTTTGCTAGATTGTTTGCATAGGACTTCATATCAGAAGTAATGAATATATAGCCTATTGTTAATTTCTTGTCCTTGAAACAGTATCTAGGATAGTTTGGAATTATGTTGTGTTTAATGATACCATAGAAGGAGGTCAGACTCTGATGATAGTCTGTATCTCAGACTGTTTCCTTTCATCCTTCAGTTCAAAGTTATCCTCCAAAGCCTCTCTCTTACAAGGGTTTTTGATGCTGTGGTTCAGGAGTAGAGCTCATCAGACCTCGTTAACAGGCAGTATTTCCTCTGAAAATGACATGGCATGTGTTATAATCCTGGAATTTTTTAATAGTCTATTCTGTGCTTGGCAGTGAAACACTTGAGGAGTGACTGACAGCCCACTCATGCAATTCATGGTGATCTCTTGTGTTGACAGATCTTTTTAAAGTCGTGATAAATTACTACTGTGCCCAGCATAGCCGCCTTCATTTTTTTTTTAAACTGCCAAAATCCTGCAAAACAGAACAATTTTCTTTTTTGAGTGTCACTGGCTTTTTTAAAAAATTTCTATAGCATGACATGATTCCTCTTATTGTTAGAATTTCTTTTGATAGACAGAATGTGTTCCTATAGGTAATGCTGATTTTAAAATGGAAGTCTCTAGTTCCCCAATTTAACTCCTTTCCATTTCTGACTTTTACATCAAGACAACCTTGCCACCATCTATCTTTTGGCCCTTTCATCCTTCCTGAAGGACAGTTGGAAGATTATATATTTCAGGGGAGGGGGTACCATTTTCTTTAGTGATGTAAATACCAGTAAGTTGCCCTTGCTCAGGTAAATTACCTCCTACCTAACCTGGCAAGAAATGCTAATGAAATTCAGTGGGTCACAGACAAAAGATGTGGAAGTGGGCAGGAGCTTCTAGGAAGGATATTAAAGAAGGGGATGATGGGATTGAAGGGGTGAAAATTCCTAAGATATGTTTTATGATTGTGTGAAATTCAAACAATTTAATAAATTTTTTAGAAGAAAGATTTGATTTAGATGATTTTTATGTCAGTGTTATTTTTGTCCTTTAAAAGAGAAACAGGATTCCAAGCATATACCCCAGCATTGAGCCACACTTGTAGCTCCAGAATGAGACTCTTTAAGGATCTTTCGTATAAGAAGAGAGAAACTGTAATAATAACAAAATGTTTAATGTTCCCAGTGACTTTCTGGCTTAGAAGTTATTATGTACATTTTGTATCTGAGCAAACAGACTGTTAACATTGGGAAAACTTTTGTCAAGACCAAGGATTTTGTTTTCTCTGCCTTCTATGTGCAAGTTCTTTCTCTTAGGAACTAAGGGAGTTTGTTGGCGTTTCACCATCAAGGATAACATGTTTGTGTTCCTCAGGCCTAATTCTAAAATATCTCCTGCTTTTTAAACTATGCTTTTTGCTTTACTGAATGTTGACTCATTTGATTCATTTGGCAATTATGCTGCTTTTGTAGGGCCTAAGACTAGTAGCTTTGGTTATTTTTGTTTTGTTTTTCAGATAGGGTTTGTCTGTGTAGCCCTGGATATCCTGGCACTGTCTCTTTATACCAGACTGGTTGCCAACTCACAGATCCACCTGCCTCAGCCTCCCAGTGCTGGCTCAAAGGTGTGTGCCGCCACCACTTGAGTTTAGCCTTTTTAAAAATAAATGAATATATTTACAAGTGTCACTTTAAATGGGAAAATGGATGTTTCTGGAGGTTTGGAGTGTTTTTTTGGGGGAAGGCTTCCTGTAATGTAGCCTGTGGAGCTACCTGCTGTCAGCTCAGGTAACTTCTGAGCCATCATTCCATGGGTGAATACCTGAATGAGCATTGCATGTGCTTACTGTTTTGTAGCTTGTCCAGATTATCATCAATACAACACACTTGGAGAAGTCCTGTAAATATCTGGAGGAGTTCATCACCAATATCACTAATGTGCTTCCAGAGACGGTCCATACCACCAAGCTTTATGGTACCACAACTTTCAAGGTGAGAACATGTCAGCATAGAGGGATACCCATTGACAGTGCATGGACATAGTCTGGGCCGTTTCACCAGTGGCTTTTTTTCCACAGAGTGATTTATGACATGCTTTTGAGAGTAAGGAAGAGTTTGGTTTGGTCTCCATTTTTCTAGAAAACAAATTTAAACACAAGAGAGATATATGTGTGTTCAAAACAACTACAAAATTTCAACAACATTATCAGGATAGTATGGTTATGGATGACATGAATATCAACTATAATACTTATTTGGTAACTCTTCTTCCGTGTCTAACTTTTTAAATCATGTTTTAGTGACAAATCCTTACCCCCAATAGTTAGCTATTCTCTAATTATAAGCCCACAGAACTATTTCTCTCTGTCAGAGAAAATGACATCTTTGTAGAACAAAGGAAAGATTAATAGTAGATGAGTTTCTGGAGCATAAACACCTACTATTAGAAGAATCCCATGAGTCTTTTTTTTTTCTATTGGATACAAGTATATTTAACTTTGTTTCATCCAGTATTTTGGAAAAGAAACTTTTTATATCATACATTTTAATTTTTTCATTAGTAAAATCCTCTATATTGTCATGTGAAAATTTTCATGGTTATTAATCAGAAAAATGTTGCAGTTTTAAACAAAGAAGAATGAATTTGATATATAAATGAACCTGAGTGGAGAGAGGCTGATTGTGTAGCTGTGACTTATATGGAATTCTGTGTAGACTAGGCTGGTTTGAAACTCACAGAGATTCTGCTCGCCTCTTCCTTTTGAGTAGCTGGGGTTAAAGGACAGTACCACATACCAGGCATGGTTTGAGTTTTGTTGTTATGAGATTGTTGTAGTTTTAAAACATATTCTATGACATTCATAAATCCAAAAATGGTAACAATTAGACACATGGGCACAGTTTCAACCATGACTTATGTCCCCTGGTGTTTCCCTTTGCCTACCCTTTATCCTTTCTGTTTGTTGGTGCTATCTCTCAAAAATACCCACCAAAGAAGAAATCAGATTTGATCCATTTGGTGATTAAAGTGTGTGAGAGAAGGACTTTTAGAAGAACTTAACTGTTTGCTATTTTAATATGTGCAATGGACTGGTCTAGAAATCAAACCAATATTGGAAATAACAGTCTTCATTTGGAAGGCTGGTTCTGGACATTTTCAGAGACATATTTGGAAATTACCTGCAGTTCTCTATGATGTTATGTCAGCAAGAGATAAAGTTGGGACAGGATCTGGATTTCAAACAAGTGTTAGTACATGTGTAAGGCATTTTTAATTGTCAAGTTAAAATTACTTTTGTTTCTTCTACAGTATTTAATGTAAGTTGCATTGATTGTACACTTTCTAATTGTGTTAGTGTGTTGAAACCTGGCACGTCTGTTATGGAGGTCTATCAACCAGCTTTTGTTTTATTGCCCTGAGTATCATAGAACCTTGGTCTTCTGAAAAAAGCTTGCAAGTACTGGAAGAAGTGAGTTAGGCTTTAAGCAGAAGCAAGAAGGTAGTGGGCTTGATTGTTGCTGGTATAACAGCTTTAATTACATTAATTGCTAGCACCACTGCTTCTGTAATTGCTTTGACACAAGAAGTTAAGACAACTACTTTTAGAACAAGGAGGTAGGCTTCAGACATGAAAATGATTTGGGGCTAGAACAGGGAAGTTGGCTCAGATATTTTGGTCATCATGATAAGCCCTTAGAAACAGTGATCACGGGAGTGTTCATGGAATTTTGTTTTTTGTTTATTGCTTCTTCTTTGACTATTTGTGTTTATTGTTGTGCTTGTTCCTTGACTATTTGTATCTATTGTATTGCTAGTTCCTCAACCTAGAACTGACCTTAATACTTGCTGTAGTGGGAGATATTAGAAAAAGCAGAGCAGTGCAACTCAGGCTAGCTTCTAGCCTCCACCATGTTCCTGCGCTGTATTCCTGCTCTAACCGCTGTACCGGCTGGCCAGTAGTGCCAGCCTGTGACCCATGAGATGTTGATGTGGCTGTTGCCTCTGCTGTTCAGCTCCGTGGAGTCAACAGCTCTAAGCATGGGTCTTGGTCCAACTCTGCCACCCTCATAGTGCTCGACTCAACCCCAGACAATAACCCCTATCCTTGTGTTACCCAGTAGAAATAAGATTCTTATTTCTTAAAGATTAACCAAATAGATTTATATATCAGCAAATACTCGATACACAAGATGCCCACACAATTAGAATTGTTATCCAAATATCTAACCTTTTGATATGAATAATTATCTTAGGCTGATAGAGACACTCATATATCCGTGACCATCTTCTCTTCTCCTTCTCCTTCTCCCTCTTCCTCCTCTCAACTCCTAGCTCCACCTACCTCTTCTACTGCCCAATCACTGAGCTCCACAGTAAATACAATGAGCAGGAAAAATCCTGCCACATTTGCATGTGATTTAAATGGTATAAAAGCAAAAAGGATGAGGATGAATGGGATGGGGCTTTCTAGGGAGGGGGAAATGGGGAAAAGGGGATGATATCTGAAATATAAGTAAATAAAATATCCAAAAAAAAAAAAGGAGAGAAATATGTGCAGTGTTGAAGATAACCCATTCCTTCCATCTCTATGACGGACTGAGTGAGGTTTTCATAAGAGGACCCTAGTATTATTTTACCAATAAAATTACTTAAGAACGTTCATTACCTATCACACCAAATTTATGCCATTCCTTTCATATTGCTTATGAATGCCTGATGATAGCAGCCATGATACCCATGGCAGTTGGTTTCACAGTCCTCACAGCTAATCCATACACATCCTCCCAGAAACTTAGATCGTTTCTATATTACTTACAACACCTTGACAATGTAGGTGATGGTATTGTCACACTGAATTGCTTAGGGAATAATGGCAAGATCACAATTATGCACAACTTCAGTATGAGTCTTGTCTTTTATTTTGAATAGTTTTAAACTGGTTTTGGTTGAATTCAGACATAAGGAACCTAGAGACACAGAGCACTGATGAGATTAATACTGATGCGTTTTTAGTGAAGATTCAGCGAATAAAGAGGCCTGCAGAAGGAGTATGGAAATATCGTAAGAGCTCTCAGAGCTTTGCTGTGACCCAGGCATTGTAGTAGGAATCAAAGTTGTTCTTTCATGGCAGTATTTGTAAATATGGATAGTGACTTCATTGAAAAATGGTTTTTTTCTCTACTGTAAAAACTAAAATTTGTTCCAAAGCATATACATGAGTAGCTATCATTCAGTGTTAGGCTGAGAATACGGTATTGTTAAATTACATTATAAGATTCAGTAGACTGTCTGCCAGATGGAGAATATCCTGGATCTATTAATACTCAGTTCTCAACCTGTCTTATTCCTATTGAGGTACTATGTTGTTCTGGGTTTTAGAAAGGAAGTTTTAATTAGTTTTTGAGATAGTGTGTCACATGCTAACTCAGATTCTTCCTAAAACTTACTGTGTAGTCCAGGTTGGCCTCAGACTGTAGGTAATTTTACCACCTCTACCTTCTGAATACTGTGAGTACATATATGAGCTTCCATGTCCAGCTTGCGCTAGCATTTAGAATGCTGAGGGGAATGGAGAGCAGGTAGAAAGCCTGGTGCTGAGCAGCCAGCATGTTAGATGCTGAGCAGAGGAGTAGTGTAGGTGACATTAAAGGTCATATTTACTTTTGATAGGGAACATTGATTCCTCAAAGCATACTGAAAGCTTATTTTTACCAGGGTGAGCCAATCCAGAATTAAGTGTAAACAGAGCAGGTAGGAAAGCTTCACGTTGTGTGTTTTCCTAAGCTACTGTTTCCTGAAACCCTTCCTTTGCAGATGGAAACCTTTATGCTGGAAAAGAGGCAGACATATTCAGAAGGTCTTCAAGGTGTTTTCTGACAAAGTTGCCTCTTGTTTCTTCTGCCATGAGTGACATAATCCAGCTGGCATGTTTGGCTTTCCCTACTCAAAATGTTCCTCTGTCTTTTTTAAAATAGAGACCAAACCTATTTACTAATTCACTTCATCATAAGTAGTTTTTATATCTACTGTGTGACAATATGGTATGTCCAAGAGAAAAAGAGTCTGTTAACTTGAATCTTCTTTGAGGCCCAGGGACACAGAGACCTAGCTTCTGTAAAGAGCTGTAGTGCACTAGATGACTTTAATCCATTGTCTAGCTAGCAGGTTTTAATAAAGCAGGTGTGTATCTTGTAGTCTTAAAAGACTGAACAAAGTAAGTCTCTCTTGGTTTTGTGGAACTTATACACTAATGAACTGAGAGCTGATGAGAAGATTTGCTAGAGCCATGACCTGGGGTGTGGTGCTGGGGTGAGGACCTGAAATCATATTCAAACCTAGAATCATTTCAATTTCTGTAGATGTGCATTCCCACTAAAGGGAAAAGTAAGATGATGGATTCGGGCACATTCAGGCATGGTAATGGGTCTACTTAGCAGTGTTCTATCAATGACTGGTAGAAGTATGAAGAGTTCCTGTGGTAAGGGGCCAGTCAATGTCTGCCCCTGTAGGACATAATAAATGCCGTAGTTCTTATTCTGCAGTTAGATATGAAGTTTCTAATTTGGTGCTGTGGTGTGGTGCTCTGACTCATCTTTGAATGTAATAATGGTTGTCATGTCATTGTAAATAGTTAAGTTTGGAAGGTGGTAGTTAGGTTGGAGGCCATTGAAATAGGCCAGGTGACCAATAATGCTCACATGGAGTAGTTAGTAGACTTACGAGTAGAGAAATGGTTTGAAGACAGAAATGGCAGGTTTTTAAAAGAAAGAAAGAAAGAAACCAAAGGTAATTCTAAGATATTTGAACTGAGTGAACTATTGAATGGTAGTAATAGTCACTGAGAAAGGGAATGTCATTTTAAAATTTTAATGAAAATATAATTATATCATTTCACCTTCACTTTCCTTCCTCTTGCCTGTTTCATGTGCACCACACTCCCAAATTCATGGCCTCCTCTTCTTTAGCTATTGTTGTATGCCCATGCACACAC